GTCTTTGAAGCTCCCCCAAATTCTGGAAGCGACTCTTCTTCACAATGCTGTTAAGGCTGCGGTCATCTCTCTTGGTTGTGCAGCGTTTCCTGCCACATTTCCCCCTTCCAACAGACTTTTTGTGGATGTGCTTTGAAACTGCACTCTGTGAACAGCTTGCTCTTTGAGAAATTTCTTTTTGTGTCTTACCCTCCTGATGGAGGATGTCAATGACGGTCCTCTGGACAGCAGTCAGATCAGCAGTCTTCCCCATACTTGTGATTTAGTTTACTGAACCAAGCTGAGTATTTTTCAAGGCTCAGGAAACCCTTGCAGGTGTTTCGAGTTAATTAGACGATTCAAGTGATTCGTTGAACACCCTACTAGTATACTTTTTCATGATATTCTAATATTTAGAGATAGGATATTTGAGTTTTCTTAAGCTGTATGCCATAATCAGCAATATTAAAATAATAAAAGGCTTGCAATATTTCAGTTGATTTGTAATGAATCCAGAATGTATGACATTTTTGTTTTTTTAATTGCATTACAGAAAATAAAGAACTTTATCACAATATTCTAATTTTCTGAGACAGTCCTGTAGATAAATGGCCTTCGAGCATGACTTGAGTAACCTACATTTAGCAAGGCAGTGTTTTAAAGAAACCAAATCAGAATCAGAATACCTTTATTATTATTAAAACAATGTATTCTAACAAATTGAACGTGTACGTTGGCACACCATGACATGTATGTCACCAAGTATTTAATTGGGACATAAAATACAGTAAAAAATATTTCAGAATAAAAAGAAAATGAATGTACATTATTTACATTTTTTCCTATAGTTTGTCAACATCTATGCCATACAAAGGAGTTTAACGAATGGAATCAAACTTCCTGGTTTCAACAGAGCAGAGTTTCATGAATCTTCTTGACAATCTTTGTCAGGACGTTCTTGGCCGGACTGAAAGACGCCACAATCACCTCGATCTGTTCGATCCTGCAAAAACATGAAAACATAAAATAGTATCGTTTGTGAGGAAGTGGTTAGATGTTCTAGCTAACATATCGTTGTGCTACCTCAGACACATTTTTTTACAGAGCTGCATTTCCTTCCACCCAAAAAGTCATAAACACAACCTCACTTCATTTTGACTAAATGTGTATTTGAGTCAAACTTACGTTGTGTTTCCGATCATGTTCTTGAAGCTCTGCACTTTAAGGACACAGTGGCGGGCGATCAAACTGACCGAGAAGATCACCTCGAACTTGGAAAATGACTTGAGACAGCTGAAGACAATGTCCACTCTAGAGAAAGGGAAATAAGAAAATTAATTATATAAAGATAGCTTAGCTTGTTTGTAGCTTTGAGTATATACAATGGTAAATTAGCTGACCCATTAATGACAGATTTGTTATATTATACATTTTCCTTCCAATACGGCAAGGACTGGTTATTAAGAGTTCTTACTGAGTGTCCACACAGCTGATGCTGAGAATATCGAGCTTCAGACTCCCCCACATGTTCAGCAGACGCAGCTCCTCCCCCAGCAGCCGACAGCGACTCACCACCAGGCTAACATCGTGCAGCAGCTTCACAAAACAGGAGACAATACCTCAGGGTAAGGTTTCAGAGTAACCGTGTAAAATTGTATTTTCACCAAAGCAAACGGAGACAACTTTGACACAGAATTCTACAAGTGTACCACAAACAAGATAAATACAAAACCCCTTCGCACACACACATACCGTTGGAACATGTCTGCTTGTTGGATACTTCTCCACCCAGTCAGTGTTTCCCTCTACGTACTGAGAGAGCAGTTTGTGAACGAGGCGGGCGTGGTCCTGCGACTTCTCATCTGGTAAAAAAAACAAAAGAGCAGTTGATGTTAACACAAATGGCCAGTCTCAAAAACATCCCCCATGCTCAAAATGTACGTTATATAATTACCGTAATTTTCGGACTATAAGCCGCGCCTTTTTTCAAATTTTTCGACCCTGCGGCTTATATAACGGTGCGGCTAATCTATGGATTTTTATAGCTAACGGCCACTAGGGGACCTCCTAAATCTATGGATTTTACAGGTTACAGTCCACCACCTTTAACTCTATGGGCTCTATGGCCGCTCCGCGCCCCCCACCTTTAAGCGGCGGGCTCCAGCAGGAAAAGCTGGAGGCCGGAAAAGAGTGAGACAGGTAGCGCGCAAAAGTAAAAGTGGAACCGAGAGTGGTACGAGAGACAGAACGAGAGCAAGACAGACAGACATTACGAGAGCGAGACAGTTTGTCCCCGTACCACTGGTTGAAAACCACTGCTGTAGATCACTGCCGGTACGTGCGCTGGGAGCGCACCGTTTAAGTTTGAAAGTTGAAAAGTTTGTGTGTCTGAAACGCTATGTGATACAGTACAGTTTACACAGCACAGTACATGTTCTGTAGCTACTATTGCACTAAATG